TATGAGAAGATCATGGGAAAAGTTCAAAGGGAAGAAAAAGACACATTTCACTAGGCAAAAAAGGCAAATAGGCACCGGTTCAAACCCCCTCTTTGGCACCGGTTTTGAACCGTTGGGTATTTGAGGGATGCCAAATCTCTGAAGATTTGGCACCGGTTCAAAACCGGTGGCAATTAAGAGCTTTAGCACCGGTTACCGGTTAACCGGTGCTAACTACAAGCTTTGGCACCGGTTAACCGGTGCCAAAAGTAAGTGTCGCGCTGTTTTTTTTTTTTTTTTAATTTTAACTACAATTGGCACCGGTTAACCGGTGCCAATTATGCCTTCAAAAAAACAAAAAAAAAATCGCAATTTCTTCACTGAAAAATTCAGCATACAATGAAACAAAACACCAAAAATCAAACTTCCCTCAAAAAAATAAAAACACCAAAATCATAATATACAATCACATATAAATATATATTCATCAAATAAATTGTTATTTTACAATTTACTAAAAAAAACAGAAAAATCGCTGAATTTGTAATTTTATAATTTACAATCACTACAGTTGTAATTTTAAACCCAGAAACTTTGAACTTCAAACTCAGAAAAATCACGAACTTCAAACTGAAAATTAAAAAATCAGAAACTTCCAACCTGATTTAATTAAAACATTAAAATTAGATAACAATGCTACTAACAATATAAAAAATCAACCCAAAACAAGATAAATCACTCAAATTCAACCCAAAAAAAACTACCACAAAATCGAAGAAATAAAAAATCAATCGAACAAATTCAACCCAGATAAATTCAACCAAAAAACAAAAAATAAATAGAACAAATAAACCCCAAAAAAATCGAAAATCAATCGAACAAATAAACCCAAAAAATCGAACACAAATCGATCAAATAAACCCCATTAAAAACGAAACGATTTCGCACAAATACACCCACAAAGATTCAACCCACAAAACCCAGAAACCTAGAAAAAAAACAAAAAAACCCAAAAACCCAAAGAACACAGAAAAACCCAGAAACCCGAAAACCCAGAAATTACCCAGAACCAAGAAACCGAAACGCAAAGCTAAAGAACCGAGAAACCCTAACCTCAAATTTCTGATTTTAGGCGGCGGTGATGTTTGTTGTGGTTGACGGCGGCGGCTTGGTTGTTGTCCTTGGTTGTTGTTGAGAAGAGGATAAAGAACGAGAGATCGATCAGAGAAGCACAGAGAGATCAGAGATGAACGAAAGATGAGAGAGAAGAACAGAGATGAGAGGGATCAAAGAAGAAGAACGAGAATCAGAGAAGAGATGAAAGAGAAGAACGACAAAGAAGAAGAACAGAGATGAGAGAGAAGAACAAATCGAGATGAGAGATAAGGAGAAAGAGAAGGAGAGCATGCATTTCATCAGAGAGAGAGAGGGGGTTATTATATATGGGTTTATAAGATTAGAGGCACCGGTAACCGGTGCCTATTCCTTTTTTTTTTAGCTTTTTTTTTTTTGTTTTTGTTTTGTAATTGGCACCGGTTTGTAAGAGGAACCGGTGCCAAAAGTCATTAAGCTTCACCCGCCCATTTCCTTTGCAACCAGTTTTCAAGAACCGGTGCCAAAGGTGCGTTGCCTAATTCATTTTTTCTACTAGTGTCTTGAGATGACTCCTCCGAGTTTTGAATTGCTTTCTCATTCTCAGTCACCCACTCCTCCTCCCCCTCCTCCTCCTCCTTCTCCTCCTCAAACTCAAAGGCCTCTTCCTCCTCCTCAAGGGACTTCCATTTCGATTTTAGCAGGAGCATGCTCAGGTGCTAAAGTGTAACAATCTGTTCATGGAGAGAAGAACAATATTCAAGCAAATGAAGAGAAGAACAAGAACAATGATGAGAAAGAAGATGACAAGATGGATGGGTAATGTAGTGATGTTTAGGGATAATATTAATTATTGATGAATTAATATTTTATTTTTTAAGAACACTAATTATTAGTTTGTTTATTGTTTTGGGACACTAATTATAAATATACATTTGTAATTTTAGAACCTGTGGTATATTTTTTTGAAATGTTATGCTCTTTAAATATTTGTATGTTTTTTTAGATATTTTATGGAATACATAACAACCATATGCATTATTTTATTTGTTAATAATCTTGACTTTCTACAAGAAAGAAAATGTAGAAAAAAGGGTGAAAAGATTCCCGAAAACCTTCCAAATTGTATTCGTTCACCTTTTATGGTTCGGTATGACAACATATTCCAAAAGATCGATGGACACAAGAAGAGAATGGTGGAGTATGCATTTGCTAAAGGATTACCTGAGTAAGTTCTAAATTTACTCTGTAATTTTAAAATAATTAGTCTTGTGCTCTAATTTATTACTCAAATGTTCTAAATTAGTATTCATATGTTCAACTTAGTATTCATATGTTCTAAATTAGTATTCATATGTTATAAGGTTTAATCTTATATTATAACATTAAATGCTATTTGTTTTTATGTTTGTAGTGAAATTTTATATGATGATGGTCAAACTAGAATCTGTAGAGATGAGATGTCAAGCCTTGCAGCGAACAATCATGTGTTTAATAACATGTCGATGCTTGGTCATTCATATTAAACATTGAAAATAGAAGACGAACCCCAGGGTCAACAAACATATTGTTTTTTTTTCAACGCAAGCTTATGTATGATTCTTAATATTGAACTTGACTTTTTTCATGTTATAAATTAAGATTTCGTATCTTATTTTAAATGCTTTCGGGAAATTTTGTGTACGAATTATCACTTTCAACCAACTGTGAAAATCAAAGATAGATTTCCTTCTTTATATGAAAGGTTGGATAAAGAGATGAAGCACTCTAAAGTGCATAACTTTGATAGAGTTCATTTGGTAAGACATTAAGAAAGCTATAAGAATTTGAAAGAATTTGAAGAAAGATTTCCTTCTTTATAGGCTGTCTTCTTTCTTTCTTTCATTTTTTGTAAACAGCTATTTCAATTTCATGATCTATTATTATATGCAAGTATTTTTTCCAGTTGCATCTTCATCACATTACTATCTGCTTTGTGTGAATTTTCTGAGCAAGACTTTAGACTTGATTGACGACAGATATTTGGAATATAAAAATTCTTTTTGGCACAAATACAAAAACAATCCGAAGAAGTTGGTAATATCTATCTGCCTCATTTACTTGTGCTTAGAATCAGTGCTAAATGGGGGTTTTGAACCGGTGCTCATTACCATTTTTCGCCTAGTGTCTAAACATTTATTTTAATGTTCTAAATCTTAAATCATATGTACTAAAATTATACTCATATGTTCTAAATCAGATGCTTTAAAAAAAATTCATGTTCCAAATAGTACTCATGCTCTTAACATGTTTACTTATACATTTTTAATATTTACTCAGATATTTGGAATTATACTCTGTATGTCATTTTCTAATAATTTTCTTAATGTTTAATTTTTAGTTGAGGGGTTTAGCCATGTTCTTGTCAATCAAGAGGTTTCTAGTTCCAAAACTAAGACATTAAAAATGAGTTGGAGGACCAATGATAACAATGATGATTGCGGCGTGTTTTTGCTTAAACACATGGAAACATATCATGGTGAGAAAGATACCAAGTGGGATGGTGGATTAAAATTGAATGATGTAAGTTTGTTCTAAAGTATTACTCATGTTGCTCCTTTTTCTAAATATTTATACATATGTTCTAAATTTTTTTACATATGTTCTAAATTTAAACTCATTATTTCCAAATTGTATAATGTAAGTAGTCGATTAAAATTGGATCATGTAAGTTATGTAAATCTATTTTTTTTATAATGATGTAACAAGTGGGATAGCGGATTTCAAAGTCTAATGATTTTATCTTATTATATTGCAGATCAATCAAAAGAAGAAATTGAGGGTGGATTTTTGTGCTAAAATATTATCACACAAGGAAAATGAGTCACATCATGAGATTACTTCAAGATCAAGCAAATGGGCGAAAGAAAATATATTGTAATCTAATTTTAGAAATAGCATGTAGAATTTTATATAGTATAATTTTACAATAAATTGTAAGCCTTCACTCGAAAACTATTTTTCTAAAAGGTTGTATTCGAATATATAAGTTTTGTCTCGTCTTTCTTGTGATCTACTTCATTGTTCTGCGAGAATATAAAAAATACATTTTATTCTAAATTAATACTCATATGTTCCAAATTTTTACCCATATGCTCTAAATATTAATGTCAAAATCCCTTATGAAAAATATATAAAGTTATATAGATTTTTATGTTCTAAATTGAAATTTAGAAGTCCCTTTAGAACAATAAAATAGCATGTTATTGTAAACTATTAGTCATATGTTCTAATTTTTTACCCATAAGTTCTAAATTTTAACCCATAAGTTCTAAATTATTACTCATATGTTCTAAAATTTTAACCTTATGTTCTAAATTATATGTTTATATGTGTTTTAAATTATAACTCATATATTTTATATTATATCTCATATATTCCAAATTTTTTTACTCATTTCCTCCACCCAAATGCATCTGAATGAAATTGAGTGAAAATTTTAATCACATGGTCTAAATTTTAATTTTGAAATCCCATCGAAAACATACAAAACACATGAATTAAAAAATATTACTTATGTGTTCTAAATTTTTAGTTATATGTTCTAAATTTTAATACATATGTACTAAATTTATTTACTTATGAACAAGAGGCTGGAGAGAATGTAAGAACACACTAATTTAAGTGATTATTCAAGAGCTGAGAGTTCAAGTGATAAATTTTAATTATATGGTCTAAATTATAATTTTGAAATTTAATCGGAAACCTACAGCACACATGATAACAAAATATTACTCATATGTTCTAAATATTTGGTCATATGTTCTAAATTTTAATACATATGTACTAAATTTAAACTCACATGTTCCAACTTATAATCATTTTTATACTACAAAAAAAAGTGTTATTCAATACACAAATTCAAAAAAATGTTCTAAAATCATTAAGTATCACCTAACTTTCTTTGGACAATTTTGAATATCATGGTGACTCAATTCCCCACAACCTTTGCATAACCTCTTCTTTTTCTGGTTTTGTTCAACTACCTTTTCTTTGTTCCCCTCTAGCCTTTTCCCACTTTCAGATCTTGTTTCAACATTTGAAGTCTCTATAGATCTTGTTTCAACATTTGAAGTCTCTACATTTTTCACATGAACTCCAGTGCCTTTATTCTTCGAAATTTTTGGAGGCTTGATAGATATTTCAGCTGGAACGCTAGTTCCAATTAATAGTTATATGTCTTTTTCTTTGTTAGTAGCATTCTTTTCAACATTACTTCTTGCACTCCTCTTAGCTTCCAAATCCAACCTCAATCCTTGAAGATTAATCACAAGGTCTTTGATATCTTCATCGTTTCCCTCTGCCAAACTAACACAATTATGTATCTCTAACCACAACTCATTCAACAACTTTTTCTTGTCGATTATATTGGCACATTGTTCCAATAAATTTCGTCCTAGGTCAAATATTGGCCTTTTTGTTGCCATAGTAGTCTATCTGTTTAGAATATACTGCTCAGGAATAATTTCAAACCGTTTTGCTTTCCAAACCCAAACCATGTGCTTGCATGGAATGACTTGCCTGTAAAACAAGTTGCAAGAACATGTTGTCTCTTGGTTAGTCAGATTAAACACAACATCAAATGTTCTAATCCGACCCCCGTCACTTACTTTTGCAATTTCCAATCCATTTTCTCTCTTAAACTCTTCACAACCACAAGAAAAACAAGCCATTTTAACCTCATATTGGAAATCATAAAAAAAAACAGAAATAGTGTATATGTTTGAGGCATGCTTTTTTTTATCCCTAGTGGTGTCTTGCGCTTTGAATCATTGTCATTCTAACCTTGAGTGTGTCTCTGGGCATCAAATGCAACTTCATATCTCATGTAAAACTCAACAAGTGACACATGAAATTGCTAAAGGAGCAAAAAAAGTTGTTTTCACATTCAGATCTTGATGTTGTACGCATTATTCCTCCTAGGAACATGTCTCTGAAATATGCCAGAATCCACTTATCCCTTATCTCGTACATATAACACAACCACTCATTTCCTTCCAATTGAAACTCAACTATCACCTTATTCCACCTTTCTTCAAACTCAGCAGGCTCAATTTCAAGATGCCAAACACAGGCACATATTTTTTTCAGGAAACCCGTTTCCTCCTTTGTGATTGCTTGCCCTACTTTATCCAACTTCTTCATTATATGCCACATACAGAACCGATGTTCAGACTTTGAAACACTCTTCTAACAGAAATTTCAAAATCTGGATCTTGATATGTGATCAGACAATTAGGTTCATTATCGCCCATTGCCTTAAGAAATGTTTTGAATAGCCACTCAAATGTTCAACATCTTCCTTTGCTATGAAACCAGCCGCAAAAGTGATGCAACTCTTGTGATGATCAACCCCTGTAAATGGAGTAAATACCATGTTATACTTGTTTAGAACATGAAGATCAAATTTCATTACATACAAAATATAGCACTACCTATTTAGAACATGTGAATAAAATTTTTGAACATATGAGTAAAAATTTAGAACGCGTGATTAAATATTTAGAATATATGATTTAATATTTAGAACACATGATTAAATCATAATAGAAGACATTATTTAGAGCATAAATTTAAGACTAAAGTTTACTTAATTATTTAGAGCATAAATTCAAGACTGAAGTTTACTTAATTATAATCAGAACATAAGAATCACTATTTAGAACATTTGAATGAAGTGTTGTTAAAGGTTATGAGTTTATAAAACATAATTTGGAACATTAAACTAAAAATTTATAACATAAAAAGCAAATTTTAGAACATGTGAATAAAAATTTAGAACATATGATTAAAATTTTAGAGCACATGATTAAATATTTAGAACACATGATTAAATCATAACAGAAGACTAATTATTTAGAGCATAATTTCAAGACTGAAGTTTTCTTAATTGTAATCGGAACATAAAAATCACTATTTAGAACATTTAAATGAAGAGTTAGTTGTTAAAGCTTATGAGCATATAAAACATAATTTGGAACATTAGACTAAAAATTTAGAACATAAGAAGCAATTTATAGAACATTCAAAACATAAATCAGAACATAAGACATAAGTTATATGAATCACCTGTTAGTTTGGAAAGTGATGTTAAATGATATCATATCACCGAAGAGAGCATAGTTTTTTTTACAAATAGGGTCCGCCCAAAAAGCTCTAGAGAGACAAGAATCATCATCAACTTCAAAATCAAATAAAACAGCACTCCACATCAACTTTTTCTTTGTGAAATTGTCTACAAACATTTGAGCATCGGAACCATGAATGAATGCTTTTAAATCTCTGTGAAAATTTTTAAAATCTTGCTTGGAAGCGCCAACATTATCATAACCTCCAAGTATTTCCTTCATCATTCGAAAAGTTTTTACAAGACCAATATTCACCTATTATAGGCACAAAACAGTTTTAGAACATATAAATTAACTTTTGGAACCTAAGTATCATTTTAGATTAAATGAGTAAAAATTTAGAACACATGAATAAAAATTTAGAAAATATGAATAAAAATTTAGAACCTATGAATAAAAATTTAGAACATCTACTTAAGTAATTATTTAGAGCATCTGATTTTAAATTTAGAACTTGTGATAAAATTTTAAAAACCTGTTTTAAGATTTAGAACATGTGAGTGAAAATATAGAACATCCAATTTAAGATTTAGGAAATGTGAATAAAATTTTAGAATAAATGAATAAAAATCTTAGATCATATAAGTTAAATTTAGAATAAATAATTTAAGATTTAGAACATGTGAGTAATATTTTAGAACATACGAGTAAAAATTTAGAACATTAGAGTAAAAAATTAGAATATGAAATAGTTACCTTTGAATTATCAATAATCATTTTTTTGTGCAAAATGTTCATCTTTCTTCCCTCTTTTTGAAATAGATTACAACTTGGTGTGTAAAGGGGATGAGTATGTCCTTCGTGAAACTGTGTCACTATATACTTTTCATCTTCACAAGGTTTTAGAATCATAAGAGCTCTGCACCCAACACGAGTGACTAATCTTTTTCTTGTGATTGAAACCTTGCCTTCCTTGCTTTGTCCTTCTTTATCATTTAAAATACTCTCAACAATAGGCTATTTTTTCTCCTTGAAACCCTGCTTATTGCATAAGATATATTAAAATGCCAATTTCTTCTCTGTATGTCTTTTACTAGTAGATTTCCTTGTGTTAAATCCAGCAGCAAGTGTGTATGATTTATAAAATTCAACACCCTCATCAACACTATTAAATTTCATTCCTACTGCAGGTTTTAACTCATTGCGACACATAGGAAGCCATTCTTTTGTTCCTCTGGGAATTAATACACGTACTATTGTAGGAGTAATTGGCACACTTGCATTGGCATTAGAACCATTATCAAGTTGTTCGTTGTTGTTAATTATTTCTGCAGAAAAGTAATTTTAACAAGTTAATAAAAATTTTAGAACATGTGAATAAAATTTTAAAACAATTGATCGAATAAAAATCTTAGATCATATAAGTTAAATTTAGAAAAATTAATTTAAGATTTAGAACATGTGAGTAATAATTTAGAACATTACTGATAATAATTAATTCATATTATACATGCAAATCTGATTTAAAACAAAGAGATTAATTATATAGAGCATAAATTCAAGACCGAAGTTTACCTGATTAAGATGTTTGTTCTAAATTTTGTACTTATATGTTCTAATTTATGACTTATACGTTCTACATTGTTATTTAGATACCCCCTTAGAAAAATTTGAACATGTTCCAAAATTTTACTCATTTGTTCTAAATTATTTATCAAATGTTCTAAATTGTAATTTCTTCATCTACATCCTCAGTTATTACTTTCCTTTACTTTCCTACCATGTTCTAAATTTGTACATACATGTTCTAAATTTTCCTACCATGTTCTACAATTTTGGAACATGTTCTACATAAAACATCAAAGTTAATAAAAATTAAACCTGCTTCAATATTTGCTTGTTCATCCATAATTTTCAACCTAATACTATGAACCTGCAAAAATTCAGAAAACAAATTTCGAATGAAACACTGATAATATACACAAATTCAATCCAAGCAATCAAGATCAATAAATTTCACCTAAATATATTAATTTAAAATAAAATTGAAAACATATTTTTTATTGTAAGAATCAAATTTAAAGCAAAAGTTCGAAAATAAGATGGAAATTCAAAAATAAAAACGCATATAAATCGCAAAAATCGAACATAAATCAAACATAAAACGAACAAACTCGAGCATAAAAATCATAAAAAATCGGGAAAACAAAAATTTAGAAAAAACTTATCAAAATCGCAGCAAAAAATTGCTTAAAAAATTGAGAAAAATGGCATAAAAATGCTCAAAAAAAATCGAAGCAAAAATCACAAAAATATAATGAATATAAAGATTGAATCATAAGAATTGAATTACTTACCTAAGAACAAGAGGAGAGAGAAAGTCAAGCTTTATGGAGAGAGAGAGAGAGAAGCTGGTAATTTGAGCATGGGTTTGGAGGATGAGTAGAATGCGTGGGTTTTAGAGATTTTGGGAGGGTTTTATTTGATCGTAAATTTACATTTTTGCCATTACTCTTAGAGTGATCTTAGCTGTTGGATTTAGTTATATTTAATGGTTGTGATGTATTCTCAATATATGATAGATTTCTCACATAAAGACCTATTGTCACTAGATCCCTCCCTTATATATATATATATAATAAGGTAGTTTGTGACAAATTTTGTATTTTATAAGGTGGTTTGTGACAAATTTTCCTAGACATTTTGATATTTATCAAAGGTTATGTTTGTCTTTTCACGTTATAAGTTAGGGTATTTTATATTGATTTTAATTGCTGAAATTTTAGGGTAAGCTTGCAATTGAATGGGGATGAAAATGTATTGAATTCTTATTCAATTTTTTGGTGACCTTGGGGTTAAAATCAAATTAAATACTGAAAATTGTGAACTGTTATTGGGTGTTTATAGAGGTGGAACCTAGTGGTTGTAGGTTGAACTTGATAGTGATGATAGAATGGATGAACTACATGATAGTGAGGGTGAATAGAATTAGAAATTTGTAAGTTAAGAGAGGTATTATTTGGAGAGGTAAGCTTTGTTGGAGTAAAGAGAGTAAAAGACATGTTTCTTGGTTGGATTATTGCTTTTCTAAAGCTTAACCTGTTTACTCCACGAGTAGATTTTGGCCTATCATGTTTGTCCACGGGTGGTTGTGAAAAGACTTTTTCATGCCTAGATTCATTTTATTAGCTTTTGTTCTCTTCTTTCTTGGATTCTCTTTTATGTGTAACTCCCATTTATGAGGGTGTTTAAGGGGATTTAACTCCACTTTAAATTTCTGATTATTCCCTTAACCTCAGAGCTTCCTTTACCTCTTCATTTTCCTTGATTAACTTATACTACGTATATTGATACGGAGA